GGAGGCGCGGGTACAGCTGGCTCTGCCTCTAGGTAGGCAGAGCCAGCTGTCAGTCACGCAGCTGGGCGGATCCCGGCACAATTGTCGGGATCCGCTGCGGCGCCTCAGTATACCGCGAGCTACAGCTCATGGGATACTGAGCCTAGGGTGACAGGAGGACGCTAGTTTGTGTCCTCCCGTTACCCTAAGGAGAACTATGGGGAAAAACTTTAACCCCATAGTTCTCCTTTTAAACATGGGCAAAGCAACAAGATAAAGCATGTACTTTAAAGTTAGAACTCGCTTTATAAATATAATACGATTTCAGTTAATGTTATATGCAATAACGCTGTATCAATGGTAAAATGTGCTTCTTTTTGTGGCCTTTCATTTTTATAAAGGTTTACACTTTAATGATGGATAATTTAAATCCAATCTATAGCATGCCTCTAATAAAGCAGTTCTTTAACTTGTTTTTCTTTTAGAGGCATTTGCCTAGATTGAAAAGGCTAAAGCTCATTCTCCTGAATAAAAGAGCAGTTTCCTTTTGAATGTAGATGAGGGGGAGGAGACATTCAGCATGCATTTTAGTTGTTTAAAAAGAAATATTTCCCCCTGCCACTGTCGCTTTGTAATGAGGAATGAAAAGGACATTACAAAAGTTCCCTTGTGTTTAACACACAGCCAACTAGACAATAATCTTGATGTTGCAAAAATACCAATGTGTAGTGGTATTATGTGTTTGATTAGGGGTTCACATTGCTTTTTAACCTTTTAACAGTGAAGGGTGCAAGCCAATCAGCACCATTGCGTCTCTGATTGTTTTCTTCCTTGATGGGCTATTTGCCCTCACATTAAAAGGGTGAACTATTGTGAAAACTCTGCAAATTGTTTAGAACAAAACATTTTTTTCTATAAAACTATGTGGGTGATCCATGTGCTTAAACGTGATTATGACTCCCTGAGGATTTGTATTCAGATGCAGTGATCCCTCTGTAGGTGCATGGCCATGCAGCATTTTTTAGGCCTGCGTTTCAGACTCCATAGGAGGATGTGCACAGAGACCTCTGGGTGGCATACACACCTGCCATGAGCCATTACAGTAAATCACCAGGAGATTTCACAGTAATGCCTTTTTTTTAATTTTTGTAAGCTTGTGCTTTTCTTCATCTTATCAGGTGTCCTTTTTCCTCACTGGATTGGAGTCTGGATGTATATTGGATAACAAACTATTGAAGTACAATATGTAGCTCGCTATAATTGCCTCTCTTTTTTTGTCTATGTGGGGTAATTCATAGATTGTGTCATATTCATCTCGGGGTGGAGAGGTGTCCCTACTTTAATATTGTACTGAAATTTTGCATTCTTTGCCATTTGAGATGCCTAAATCATACCTAATGAAGTGAATGAAGTGCCCTCTGCTATGCCCTTTGATATACACGATATTAAAAACTAGGGATGCACCGTAATTTCAGCTGCCCAAACATATTGGCTGCAAGTTTCACTTTTGGCACAATGCAGAAAGTATTATCTTTCGGGCGAAATTGCTGTGCTTTCCTAGTTTCTCTCTTCCCCGCTTTGCGCAGCTTTGCGTCCCCTCTGACAAAGTGCAGCGTCCAATGGGGAGGAGAGAAACTGTCGGAGGCCGAGCAGTGCGGAGAGCGCTTTGAGCCGAGCTCTCCTGCACAGCCCAGTTCTCCCCTCCCTCAGCCGCCTCTGACCGATCAGGAAGGAGAGTGGTGTGGGGGCGGAGACAGCGCTGTCACTGGAGCCAGCGGTGAGGGAGTGTAGTATGCTGTCAAAATACAGAGCTCTCCTCCCCGCAACGCTGTCTCACCCTCCTGTGACACCGAGTCGGGATGGAGAGCGGTACAAGCAGTCAGCAGCGATCAGTGATTGCTGATTGTAAATAACTGGACATAGTATGAGTTTCTATGTACCAGTTATGAATAGCAAGTGATCTACATCACTTCCTGTTCATTCATGAATGTGTACATAGTAACTCATACAATATCCACAAGTTATAAATTAACAGTAACACTCAGTTTAAAGGATTCCTGTTCATTTAGAACAGGGGCTGCAGGAAGAGATTGAGGACTCATATTTTATTAAGGTTAGAAAAAAATATTTTCGGTTTCGGCCTGACATATTTTCTTTTTAAGGGTTTAAAATTTAAATTTTAGTGCACCTCAATTAAAAACCAATGGAGGAAATGCTATGGCCTAATATACCACGTCGGTTGGGCTAGCATTGAATTCTTAAAGGGGATATGTTACAATTACTATGGTGTTGCATCAAAGGCTCCCATTTTGTGCAGGAATCTACCACTGCCAGAACCCAAAAACCTGAGCTAAATGAATGGTAGGTTAATCCTATGCAGCGTCCTTGACACTAACTTCCCTTTTGTACACTCTCTTCTGTCTTAAAGTTTTTTAAACATTTCTAAAAATAAGGCAGTAAAGACTTTCGGGGCAATTTATCAAAACTAGAGCAGTTTCCCAAGACATCAATCCTGTCATACAAATCTTATTTGTCCATTTATGTAGGAAAGATTAACCTTGAATTTTTCAAAAGGGATGAAGGAAGCCTTTCAAGATCTGGTGATAGTGATTCAAGCTGCTATAAAAACAAAAGCAATCAGTTCTCCAGAGTGTCTGGGTATTCCCTAATTGATTTATGGGGTTTTGCAAATGGTTTTTTTTTTTTAGGGTAAATGTAAAGTTTATATCCACCCATGTGGTATACAAAGCCCTAATGTCCGCAACCCTGCAGACAGTTACGTCAGGCACCAGGAACAAAGGAAGCGATATGTATTGGAACCATGTACCATCTCATTAAAACCTTATGTGCCTCATGTGCCTCTGATCAAAGTATTGATATCATTTCAATGCTCTAGAGGTGATTTTAATGCCAATTCTCCATTTCGAAGTCTTACCCCAGGTCCTGTTCCCATTTTTATCCATACAAGGCAATTATTTAGGGACAGTGTATGAAGTGCATTTATGACCTGACATCTTCTCAAAAGTACTACAAAGATTTTTTTAATAGGTTTCCTTGTATTCAGTTTTGGTGTCCCAGAAGTTTATAAAGTTGAACTAGCCCATTATAGGGAAATGTTCTGTATTAGGCATGTGGATTTTGCCCTGAATGATTGATCTTGACCGTATTCCCTGATTTTGTTGCGTATAGTTAAGAGCACAAGTTAAAAATGCGTTGTCCTTTTTTTAAAGGAGGAAAAGATGGATTTGGAAAACCTCAGTTTTAATCTGGGTGATACATCATGGAAGATGTCGGTCAATACTCATGGTTTACTAAAATCTCAGATGGCATCTGATTTGTGTCAGGAAGATGCAAGCTACTTGCGACTCTCCTTAGGAGAGTTCTTTGGTCAAAGATCAGAAGCGCTTGGGTGTCTTGGTGGAGGAAATGATGTTAAAAGGGTAAGTAACAACAATAGGTATGTTAAAGTTAATTGCATTCTCTGATAAATAGATGCTGGCTTTCTAGTATTGATGCTAAGTTTGGTTATTTCTGAAATTTTTGTTTAAATGTGATTTATTCTTTTTTTAAGATTTAAGTTATTGAAGTATTTTTTTATACCTTGTTGGCTCATTTTTTTTTTCTCCAATCTTTATTTTAGCCCTCTTTTGGTTATCATATAATGTCACCAGAGAAGCAAGAACCCTTTGCACTGCTGCGGAAGTCAGAGATTTCAGAAAACTTGGAACATGATGACACCATAACATTTTGTGATGATACTCTTACTCCAGGTTTGCAATTTCTCTGTTAATTTCCCCCTTTTTTTTTTTGCTTTTGTCCTTTTGAGTCACAGGGGTACATCTATTAATGTACTCCTGTGTCCTAAACTCAGCATATAGCAGGCTGTTGCCCTCTATATGCAAACAGTGCAGAGCAAGGATCCACCCTGCTGCCTGATCCCGAGCCAGCTGTGCCCACCGCCTCCCTTGTTTGACCCTCCAGTGAGTGCTGAATAGAGGGAGGGGTGGAGAGAATCCCTGCAGGCAACGGTGACCGACAGCCACTGCTCTCTGTATGGAGAGGACCATGAGCTCTCAGATTAGCAGTTTGTGACCTCCTCAGTTCTCGTTTTTTTTGTTTGTTTTTTTTATAGAGCTGGCGTGCCACACCCCGGCTCAAAGTATTGGGAAAAGTACATTTTACAATACTTCTCCTTTAAATTGCCCAGCATTGGATGTTGCCTAAAATTGTTGTTGTATGAAATTGTTTTAATAAAATATAATTCTTTGCAACATATTGCTCCACTGCAGCGGACAGGGAAATTGTCTGTATTGCTAACCTGGGATAGTAGTGATATCACTCCCCCAATCATGTTGTGACAGCCCTCGGGCCTAGCAATTGGCACTGCCCCAGGGCAGCAGGTCACATGCTCCCTATACCTGGAAGTGCTAGATTTTCTTGCTGCGTGGTAAGGAGCGGCGGGTAGCACTGGCAATTTGACTGTAAGGTAGTCGGGTGTTCCTTTTCCAGATATATTGCTGTCACAGGGCAAGGGGACAGCCTCTCTTTTAAACATGCCAGTCAGTAAAGCAAGAAATGTCCCAGATTTGTTTCCTTTTTGTTTGTTTTTTTAAATGTAGGCCAAGTTGAAATAAATGCTTCTAAGAAACTTTAATTTTCTTTTAAAAATACCTTGTATTGATAAGATGCTTTTATTCAGATTTGTTTGTTTTTGTTGGGGAACCAACAATCCAGACAAAGTTGAAGTGCAGGTTTAAAAAAAATAAAAGCATTTTAGTGAACAATCAACATAAATGGCAAAATCCAGGACGTTGTTGGTGCTAAGCCAGAGGTAAAATGCCAAAGTGGGTAGTCAGCAGAAACAGTTTAGGGAACACGGAGAGCAGGATGAGTGGAAACCATAGTCTGAGACAGGAACCAGGATATCAGTCAGCCAGGGTCATACACTGAGAGCAGGAACAACTGCAGAGCAATTAGATCGGCACACATGCCAGGACAGAGACTTGGTGAACAAGCTGATGGTTAAATAGTGAACTGGTGTTTACATAATCACTCTTACACAGGAATGTGTGGGGTTTTGTTGGATGTTGTAGAATTATGTTAATGGACTTGATCATAAGAGGGCACCCAAAGAGAAACAAACTGTCAAACACTGCAGAAGCCATGCAAGCAACTGGACAATGAAGGGTAAGAAACCCTGACAGTACCCTCCCCTCAACGACCCCTCTCCCACTTGAGAACAAAAGGCTTTAGGAGAAAAGCGAGCATGGAAGGAACAGAGGAGGGCGGAGGTTTGAACATCAGAGGAAGGAATCCAAGAATGCTCCTCCAGACTGTAGCTTTTCCGGTGGACATGGTACTGGACTTGACTCCTGACCCAACGAGAGTCGAGGATGTTTGCATATCCCATACTCATGGTTGCCAACAGGAATGGGACAAGGATGAGGAGGATTGGTAGTGTAATGATTACACGCTAGTGGCTTCAGGAGCGATACATGAAAAACATTGGAAATATGCATGCTAGAAGGGAGGTCAAGAGCAAAGGCAACCGGTATAACCTTCCGGAGAATAAGGAAAGGCCCAATAATACAGGGTGCCAGTTTCTGAATAGGCACTCTGAGTTTTAGGTTACCGGACAACAGCCACACCCTCTCCCTGACGTGGTAGGAAGGAGCTGGTAGACTCCTACAATCTGCCTGGAGCTTTTGGCGCTGTATAGAGAGGCATGAAGATAGCTCTGAATCTGCATCCAAGAAGAACAGATCACCCGATAATGATCCTCCAAAGTCGTAATGTTCGGAGGCGTAAAACATTTGGTTAACACAGATGGCTGAAACTCGTAGTTAGCCATGAACGAGGACATTTGGGAGGACAAGTTGATGGCACTCTTCCTAGTAAACTCTCCAGGGTAGCAGCCCAATTGTCATGATGGTCCAAAACATAGCAGCAGAGGAATTGCTCCAGTGCTTGGTTGGATTGCTCAGTTGCACCATTGGACTGTGGATAAGCAGAGGAGAAGGAGAGTGCAAAAGGCCTGCCAGAATCTATAGACCAGGGGTGCCTACAAGGTCGATCACTGGTAGACCGCAATGTCCTCTCCTCCCCCCGATGGGGCTTCTCTGGATACCCACTGCTCTCCCCATCTGTATGCAGCGGGGATCCGAGAAGAAGTGAATGAATCGCTGCAGCGGAGGCCTGAGCAGCTGTCACATAACTAATGCAGAGCGGTGAGGAGATAGAAACGCTCGGCCTGGATCTGACAGCCGGCGCCACTCTCTCCCCTCACTGCTCGGTCTTCGTTCTGTGACAGCGGCTCCGCCCCCTCCCGCGGCTGAAGTGTTCTTTCACTTCTCGTCGGATCCCCTGCTGCCTTTGCCTGGGAGAGCAGGGGGATCCATGGGGGAAGCTGAGCCCCCGTGTGCGTGGCCGAGCGGCAGAGGATTGGTACATATGTTCCGGTCCTCTGTGCAGGACAAACACTGGAGCGATCAGCTGATCACTTCAGTGTTTGTAAACAACTGGGGACACATAGCACTATGTAAAAAGAAAAGGCTAGTTGCACTCCTTACCGGTATGGCCCAGTGATCAGGGAGGGGTGCTCGGAATGACTGCGGATGGCGCCGCCAAATACAGATAATTGCAGAAACGTCACCAGCACACCAAATCCTTATAGGATCAAAGTTCGTAGATTTTATTGCAAACTCATGTCAGTTACACAAGCGCTTTCGGGGCTACACAGGGTCCCTTCATCAGGCATAGCAATCACAGGGTCCCTTCATCAGGCATAGCAATTCATAGCATTGCTATGCCTGATGAAGGGACCCTGTGTGGCCCCGAAAGCGCTTGTGTAACTTACATGAGTTTGCAATAAAATCTACGAACTTTGATCCTATAAGGATTTGGTGTGCTGGTGACGTTTCTGCAATTACATAGCACTATGTGTCCCCAGTTATGAATGAACACGATGTGATTTACATCACTTCCTGTTCATGAGTTTCTGAATGGGGAGAAGCACTCTGTACAGAGGCTCCTCCCCATTCAGAAACTGCTTGATAGTAAATAGTTTCTGAATGAATGGGAAACCTCTGTGCTTTCCATTCATTGGGTGCTGAGGCTGCAAAAAAAGAGAGAGGACTTAGTGTCAAATTTCTTTTTCTATTTTAAAAGGGAAATATCAGGGGGCTGTTTAGACCCCTAATATTTACCCAATTCCCCCCAACAGTAGAACATTTAAATGAAAAATGTTTTAATAAGAAATAATGAAAAGAAAAGGAAAAATGGTAAAAAATAAAGAAAAAAAAGTTTTTTTTTCTTGCCTAAGATGCAAAAGGAGCTGACTACGGCTATGCTCCCGCGGCTGCCGGCTGAATGTGTCAGACGCTGCAGATGGAAAGGGGCAGCACACCTCTCCCCATCTGCAATGTCGGCCACACGGGCACCACGGGAGGATTGGACGCCGGGACCTCTAGGGCGCACTGGAATGTAAGCCGGCCGACTCCCTGCGTTCAGGTGCGGGAGAGGGTGAGGGGTTGTATTGAAGTCAATGGCACCGCAGCCGTGCCCCCTGCCCACAGTGCGATCGCCCGCACCCGGAACGCGGGCACATTAATGCCTGGATTCCGGTCCAGTACGATCTGCAAAAATAGTGCTCGCAGCATTTTTGCGGATCGCACTGGACTGCAACGCATGCACTAATGCAGACAATCGCACTGTGAGCGAGGGGCCTGGCTGCGGTGCCATTGACTTCAATGCACTGCCACGTCCCTGAACGCAGGTGTTTTTTCGTTGGTAGATCTCAATGAGCTCGTCATTTGATAAGTAGATCTCCAGACGAAAAATTGTGGGCGCCCCTGCTATAGACAGTCTCAGACCAGGGTAGCCAGTTTATCTCCTTAGGCATACCGTGTAAACGGAAGACCTCACTGGGAAACAGAGGCAAGCTCTTGAACCATGGGCAACTTCTTAAATGGTATGCAATGGCACATTTTGGGAAAAACGGTTGACAATCATGAGGATAACCGTATACCCATGAGACACACGAAGGTCAACGATTAAGTCCATGGCTTGGTGGAACCAAGGACTTTCCCCATTGGAAATGGGTTGTAGTAGGCCCTCAGGGGGTGACAATAAGGTTTGCTTTGGGCGCAAATGAAACATGCAGCCTTGTACAGTGACATCTGTGTGGAGAGGTGGCCACCAGAATTGGCAAGAAATAGCCAAAGTCCTCTGATTTTTACCAGGGTGACCAATAGTCTTGGAGTTATGGTGGGTTCGTAACAGTTTAATGTGTAAATTCTAAGAAACTTACTGGATGGCTTTTCGGGAGGATAATGTTGAGTGGCCAGAATCTGCTCTCCCAGGAGAGGTTAAATTGGTGCGGATAGTTGCCAGGATATGATCTGGAGGAATAACCAGAGTGGGCATGGAGTCTTCCCTGGATGACTCAGAATATTGGCAAGACGGGGCATCAGCCTTAAGATTTTGTGAGCCAGGCAAATACGACATCACGTAGTTGAATTGTGAAAGAGTGTCCATCTACCTTGTTGTGGCGTGAGCTTCTTGGATGGGTAAAGTTCTTATGATGTGTTTGAATAAGGACAGGAGCCTTAGTACTCTCCAGCAGATGTCTCCAGTCTTTGGGGAGCCAGAATTATGGCCTACAGTTCTGTCTCCGATCTGGTAATTGAACTCCGCTGGCGATAACTTTTTGGAATAAAACTCAAGGGTGTAAGAGACCATCTGTCAGAGGGCGGCTACTCCTGCCTCGGACACATTGACCTCAAGGGTAAAAGGTAAGGCAGTATAGGGGTGAAAAGATCGGAACAGTAGAAATGCGGACTTAAGGGCTTAGATTGCTTCAGTGGCAGCTAGAGACCAGTTGTGTGGATCGCTGCCTTCTTAGTCAGGTCTGAAAGGTTTTGCTAGAGAAGCATCTGAAAAAAAATTTGATGGGTGGCAAAACCAATGAAACGTTCGAATGGAGTGCAGCCCAGTAGGACAAGGACATTGTGAAACAGCCGACACCTTCTGTGGATCCATGGAGAATCCCTCTGAGGAGATAACTTATCCCAAAAATAACTTTGGACTGGTGAAATTCACAAAATATTCTTAAGCTTATAGAAAAGCCCATTTTCACGTAAGCTTTGCAAAACATCCTGGTGGTGCGATTTGAGGTGTGGAGTGTATTAAAATATAGTCTAAATAGACTACCACGTATTGTAACAAATCATGGAGAACATTAACCCCTTCATGACTGAGGCCGTTTTTTTATTTTTTGCACCCATGTTAATTTCCACATTGTAGACCTGAAAATTACTTAAAACCCCCAAACATTATATATTTTCTGAAAGCCAAGACCCTACAGAATACAATAATGGCAGTTGCAACTTTTTATGTTGCACGATATTAGCGCAACTCCTTATCAAACCCCACAATTTAGTGAAAAATGCCCCAAAACACAATAAAATACCCATTTGTTTCATAAAAATATAAAAGATGAGGTTACAACGCGTAAATCTGTACACTAGACGCCCAGGTTAAAAATTGCGTGCGTCCGTGAAACGGCAACAAAAATTCAGTAGCCCAAAAACTCCATAGACGCTTTAAAAGCCCCCACAGGTCATCAGTTTAGAGATGCGCATAAATATTGGCCTCAGAATTATCGCTCTCCGGCGTGCGCGGCGATACCCAACATGTGTAGCGCGATCATCATCATACGTAGGCGCACCCGACATGTGTTTACGTGAAGACGCGGGGGACTTTACTTTTTTATTTTTACATTTATTTCATTTAATTTTGAACGGTTTGTTTTTTTTTTTACTTTAATTGCTATTACATAAGGGGGCTTACAAGCCCCCCATGTGATAGCAGATTGGCAGTGACCGGTACTCTTTAAGGTGATGCTGGTGGTCCAAAAGACCCCCAGTGTCACCTTTTACACTTGAAATAAGCTATTGAAGTGCAGATCACACTTCAATAGCTTGTTGCTGGGCTTCAGCACTGACGGCTATGGGACCGGAAGTGATGTAATCTGCATCGCTCCCGCTCCCATAGTACGGAGAGGAGATCGGGGAACAGAAGCGTTGGGCGAAAACTGAGTCAACTGATCGCTTCTATTGTAAAGCCGACTGTCGACTTTACAATTGTAAACAGAGTCCCAGCGTCTTAAGCTGCCGGGAGTCTGTTTAAATGGGCCCGGTGCCAATGGCGTACTATGGACGTCACTGGTCCTTAATGGGTTAAAGACATCCTGATACTCCTGATATGCGGTAGGCAACGTAGAATCGGGAAGTACAAAGTAGCTTAACCGGCCAATATGGATGCAAGTAATGTCACTTTGTGAAGACCAAGAGAGGATCTCAGCAGTCTGCCAATTGAATGTCAGGGTTTTGTTTGTGGAGCCATGGGTAACCCAGAACAATGGAATAGTGTGGAGAGGAAATAACCTGGAAGCATACCAACTCCCTGTGTAAGGCTTTTACAGCCAAACAGAATGGTCTTGTGGTTAATATGTGCAGGCTTTAGGGGTCTGCCATTAATCTACGAGGCAACAGAGGAATGTAATTCTCCGAGACAAACGTGCTGTCAATAAAGTAACCAGCAGCACCGGAGTCTACTAGGGCAGCAGAGTGACAGCAGAGCAATCGCCCCGGGAGAGAACAACCTTTTAATTTAATGGTTTGTCTTTTTGGAGAACCGGGGACAACGTAATTTCTCCTAAGGTCTGTCCCCGACAGGACTTTAGGTGCTAGCACTTCCCAGATGCGTTGGACACACGTGTGTGTCTGTGTGGTGTTTTTTTTTCTTAGGAGATGCCCATCGAGACCAGGGAAAGAAAACGTGGAAGCCAGTCTGGTAGGAGGCCTCATCACCCTCCATAACGATGAGGGAGGGGGGCTGGACCAGTCATACCCTTAGCGACTGCTGGTTTACCAGGAGCGGAAGCCGCCAGCCGAGAAACACCTAAGATGTAGTAGATCCCATCGCACTCCTGACTGGATCAAGCCCACATAGAAGTTTGGGGGGTGCTGGAAGTGACTGCGGATGCCTCCGCATACCTAACTTAACAAGCCAAAAGTCACTCGCACTCCATTGCAAATTAAAGTCAATCTCCTTTTAGGTTACAATAAACATGGCAAAAAACAATGGAGACAGTCCAGGACGTAGTCAGTGCCAAGCCAGAGATCAGATGCCAAAGTGGGTAGTCAGCCAAACCAGGCTAAGGAACACAGAGCAGGATGAGCAAAAACCATAGCTGAAGTCAGGAACCCGGCCATCAGTCAGCCAGAGCCAGGCTCATACATGGAGAACAGGAACAACTGCAGAGAACGTGGTAGATCAGAACAAATGCAAGGGCCGAAGCTAAATGGACAAAGTTGATGTTAATAGTGAGCTGGTGTTTGCATCATCACTCGGTTTGATCATAAGAGGGCGCCAAAGAGGAGCAAACTGTGTCCGAAACATTACACAAACCATTCTGCAAGTAACTGGACAAGGAAGGGTAAGAAACCCTGACCGTTTCAGGCAGCATTTAAAATACTTAAAACATATGTACAAAGCGCTAACATAGTTCAGATGGTCAGGAATGCTTTAAACTAGCTTTTTTTGTGTATGTAATTACTTATTAAGCAAAAAAAAATTAATATGGTTTTCCATTATGTAATGTTGCAATGCAGAGGACCTTGGATGTTTACCAGATGATCAGAAGCTTGCATCTGCTACATTTGATGTGCGAACCCCAGCAAATAAGTCAAATTCAGATAGACAAGCTGAACAACACAAGCAAAGTTTACCCTCAAAGGTATGTGCTTTAATGAAGGTTATCATAAATGTCAGGGTAATTTCTACTACTACTTCCCAATTTTTATTTTACTATGCAAGCCAGTCTCTCCAAAGACTATAAATATAAAGCAAACCTGAACTTTTATGTACTTCTAGAAGAACTCCAGGAGTGTGTGCTTAGTTTTTGATTTAGGGACACAGGATTTGATTAGGCAACCATGCGTTATACTACTACCTACAGGAGTAATGGACACTTCGCACCAAAAATCTCTAGGCCAACACTAGAGTCTATAACCCCTCCCACACCAGGAATAATTTTGTTTTGCTTAGTGTCCTTGGATTACTGAAGAGTATTTTCCAGGTCCAGAGCTGTGGCTATGCTTGGAAGCCTGACCCTGTCTGTATACTATTAATAATAATAATATTATTATACAGGATTTATGTAGCTCCAATAGTTTCCACAGTGCTTTACAATGTAAAGAAGACATTCTTATCCTCTTATGCGGTCCTGGAAGACATCTGGGGAAAACCAGAGATGGAACATACCGGTAACTCTGTTTCCAGGACAATAGATTTCCCCACTGACACGGCATTGGTACGTTTTCTGAATAATTTTTAGAGTGTTTCCTGTTGTCTTTGGTTCTCGTTTTACTTAAACGCATCAAGAAAGGTTAAAAGTTAGTCACTCGGACCTCTACTTGTCTGGGAGGTCAAGCCTCTCTCTAATGTGCAGTCCTGGAGGACTACTGGAAAGAGGTTACTGGCAAGTTTTAACTCTGGCTTTCAGAACCAGAGGTTTGCAGCCCCTATACTTCTCAGTACTAGTTTTCTTTACTTCACTCAAGCCCACTATTGTCATACAGAGTAAAATTATACTTTAAAACTTCTGTTCACCAGGTGAAGATTTTAAAGTACATAGCAAGATTTGTTTTAGTCTTATTCCACATTGTGTTTAATTTTTTTTTCTTTTTTTTAGCACCAACAAATTACCAAAGAGGTATCTTCAGATCTAAAATTGAACCAAACCACAGATGTCACATTACTGAATATAAGTACAATTGCCTCTGCCATTGCAAATGCATCATGCAGTGCAGACCCTTCTGAGTTAGCAGCTATGATATTGGCACTGTCAAATAAAAGTAAAGGACATTTACCTCTTGATGCTTCTGCATCGACGGATTCCTTCAGCAGGTTATTGCAAACCTCCCTTAAGAACTGCAATCCCGAAAGCATTTTTGATGTGGAGAAATACTTAAAAGCAACCGTTCATTTCCAAGACACTCAGAGTGAAAGTTTTGATCATTCTGTTAAGGATTTTCCTTGGGATATGTCTCAAGAACATAAGAAATCTCTTGCAGTTTCCCCTGGAAATCTGGCTAATATTACAGATGTTCAAAAGCAAGATTTGAGAAGACCAGAAAATTCAAAGGCACTCCAAGTTGGTTGTGTTAAACCTCTGCCAGTAGGAACAACCTCTGATGCTGCCCCTGTGAAACATAGTGTGCCTTCTAGCAGCCAAAAAAATTACGGTACCCAATCACAGGTTAGAACTAGCATGCCAAATTCTGCTGGAATGTCTGAATTAAACCTGGCTGACAACCAACCTTTCAACAGAACTCCAGACAGTGAAATAAATAAGGTTAGTAAGGAGAGCACACAACCTACTCCTATATCAGTTAACAGGCAATCGGATGCAGCAATTTATAGTTTAAAGACAGCTGGTCAGCCATCAGCCAATAATCCAGTCCAAAGAGAATGTGGATCATTAAAGTCTTGTCTTCAGAACCGTGCAAGGTGCAAGTCTCCGATAAAATCTCATCCCCACATGTCAAATGACCCACCAGCTTTTAAGGAGCCATGTGATGTTCCTGGTGAGGCTTCCCAAAAACATGTCTGTTTTCAGCCATCACCCAGTGGAAAGCACGAAAAGTTCAACGGTAAGATGCTTAACAGAAGAAGAATTTATTTGTATTTATTTTTGTGTGCAGTTATGCTAACATTAAAGTGTATTTCCGAATTTGCAGTCACATTGGAGAAAACCTCACTAAATGTTTGTGTTCCCATTTACACAGCGTACCTAAAAAAAAATCTTAAAACATTTTTTACATGTTCTAGTTCTTTCTTGGAGCAAGCATTTGGGACTGCTACTCTAAACCATGTAAAAGTGGAGAGACAAAGTGGGGACTGACTCCTGGAATGTGCATTACTATACGATGCAGAACCCAACCCTCAAAGATCTTGAACCATTTGTTAGGATAGACCATGTGGAAATCTGATTTAAAACTGATCTCTACCTGCACAATATAAACAGGGTTAATTCTGTTAGTTACTATTATTAGTAGGGATGCACAGATACTTTTTGAGTACCAGTGCAGATACTTGGCGTTTTCATGAGAACTACAAGGGGTTGCAGCTGGTACCTGGCTCTGGCACTCCACCACTGTCCTGAAATCATTAGTCTGTATTGTTTTAGAAAAACGGTCACATGCCAAACAAAAATGTATCAGTACTTGTAAGTACTCGGCAAGTACTCGCAAAACTGGTATCTGTGCATCCTTTTATTTATAAAAACAAAATCGTACATTAAAACAGATGTACAAATCCCAGGAGCTCCGTGTGCTCCTTATAAATGACAGCTGCCTCCTAATTTTTTGAATTTTTCTCTAGTCTAGCTCAAAAGTATCGGTACTTGTATTGAGTACTGTACTTGGTATCTGTGCAACCCTAATTATTAGTTGATGTACTCATCAGACCCCATCCTTAACATTAAATAGCAGGGTAAACCTCTGTTTTGAAATTTTACTAAAAGAGAAAGTAAAAAGCAGCATATGGTCATGCTTTTGAATCGGACCCTGTAACATTTATGAAGTATTTATTATGAAGTATATATCATCCCAGTTTGGCTGCAAAAGTAGTAAGACACTTTAAGCAAAAGAAAAGGTGTACATAGCATATGATGTCATTTATTATAGAGCAGGTCAAAAATCTGTGGTTGAAAGTTGATTGAAGTGGCAAGTTTCTTTCTTTTTTTTTTTTTTTTTTTTCTTTTCTGATCACCATTTTGATATATGCACAAGTTGCTATAGTAACTATTGCTTTAAATAAAAAGATTGATGAAATGTATACAATCATTTTTGCCTTTTTGTTTCTTTGAAGATCCTGAAAAGTGAAAAACCCATTTATTGGATCTGTGGCTTTTAGTAGCTACTGTACTTTGCCATAGTGCATGTTGGGTTGACTGAGCTGCCTTCTGCTGAAGAATCTTTAGTAGGTCTAAATAGTGGTAGCCTCAAAGCTGTTAAAACTGCTGATCAATGGGGGGTGCTGACCAGGCGACCAGTGCAAATTAGTTTTCATAGGGGCATGTGTATGTTTTGTTTTTTTGTTGTCTGAAAGTGGAACATTTCAATGCAGCCTTTGCTGGGCTTTTGCATTTTCATCTTTTTTCATAAATTTAATATAAATTGTGACGAGAATTTTTTTTCTTAGCAAAATAGTGCTTTCAAAATTTGTGGTGTTAACCGAGATTAAAACTGTTGCAGGATATGTTGCCCACACAGTGGATGAAGAGCAGTACAGTTTTAGACCATCTACTTCCCCATTGATTCATTCCTCTCCTAGCCAGGATTCACTGAAGATACCTGAAAATGGGTGGGTGGAATACATTGTGACATTAGACTGTTAAGTATTTTGTTGCTTTGATGTGTTGGTCATTTTTAACTTTTCTTCACAAAGGTCTGGTGATTCTCCACCACAAGGGCAAGCATCTGTGCAGAGATTTTCCCATGCTCCTTCATCTCCTGAATCATCTTGCCTTAGTCCTAGTTTCAGTAGACTGACGTATATCTCTGCCACAGAGAATACAGGATTTGCAGGATTGCAGGATTTAAGTATCCAAAGTCCTGAAAAGAAAAAGGTAAACGTGAAATGTATTCATACTCTCTTTATGACACTGGTGTGGAAGAGATTACTTGCTTTAATCTACTCTGTTATGTACTTTAATGTTAGCTGCATGAATATAGTTAAATCCTGAAGGCAGTTTTACATTAGAAAATTTTGGATATTTCATGTTTTATTTTTTCTTCCTTTGTGAAGCAATGTCCAACCTGGTGATTTTTCAAGGATGTCAGGATAAGGAGCAGTCAGTTTATGGAACG